GATGAAGAATATCCACTACTCCACTATCGTACCGTGGATGTCGTAAATCTGTGTTTCCACCAGAGATGCGTAGCAAGGGATTGGTCATTGAGCATGGTGCTTAGGTCCTCCAACGATTCTGCCATAATGACTATGTCCTCGGCAAATCGAAGGTGAGTGATGTACTCGAAATTGATGTTAATACCGTATCCTTTCCAGTCCAGAAGCTTGAAAGCGTCTTCCAATGCAGCGGTGAAGAGTTTCGGGGATATAACATCACCATGTCTTACACCTCTCTGCAATTGGATAGGTTTCGTACTCTGGTTCTGTACTCGGATAGCCATCGTAGTCTCTACTGTACAAACACTTCAGCACTTCGATATACCGACAGTCAACTTGGCACCGCTGAAGGGACTGGAGCACCGCCCAAATTTCGACGGAATCAAAGGCTTTCTCATAGTCCACATACGCCAGACAGTGGCAAATTGTACTCCTCTGATTTCTGTACAATTTGCTGAAGGGTATGTATGTGGTCTATGGTGCTAAAGCCCTTTCGGAAACCGGCTTATACGGGAGGCTGGAAGTCGTCAAGTCTGCGTGCGAGACGATTCGTAATGACTCTCGAAAACAGCACGTAGACGCAGCTCAGAAGGGATCCCTTTGGAGTTCTTCAAGAGAGCGTTGTCGCCTTTCTTGAAGAACAAGACCAGCGCACTTCTGCTCCACGCCTCCGAAGTAGTGCCACCATGGAGGACGAAATTAAAGAGCATCTAAAGGACTTCAAGTACCGGTTTTCTACCCGCTTTCAGAAGCTCCGCTGTAACTCCATCCTCACCTGGGGCCTTGCCGTTTTTAAGGTGCTGGAGAGCCATTCTAATCTCGCTCAGACTGAAGTCTGGGATATCTTCGGAATAGTGTCGGATAAGACTCGCTCTTGGATCGTTACTCACACTTGCGTGTGGCTTCAAAGATATCGTGTACAGCTGCCCATAGAACCTCTCAATCTCGCTCAAAATCTCAGGTGTCCTGCAAAGGATACTGTGACACTCGGTATTCAGCTTTGATAGTTGGCTCTTTCTGGCAGATAGATCTCGGGCAAAGACTTTGGAGCCCTGGTTCCGCTCGATCGCTTCTTCAATACAAGGTATATTGAAGTTGCGTAAGTCCCGCCGCATGCATTTGTAGATCTGTCTGTTCAGTTACCTGTATGCTGTCAAATCTGTTGAAGACTGTAGCTTCATCTCCCGTCTAACAGCCATGAGATTAAGAGTGTGATCGGAGAGTTTTTGTGTTCTTCTGCGGCGGGTCTTGCAGAACTTAGCCCCGACCGCATGGACAGTTTCCACGAGCCTGTCATTCATATCGTCCGTTTCATTGCAGTTTTCTAGGCACTGAAAACGGTTTTGTAACTCGAGATGAAAGGTTTCGGGACTTTGGAATAGAGCATGACGGGGACGGAGCGTTGAGTTCATTAGACGAGGCCTCTCCAACTTAAGGTTCAGTGTGCCAGACATCACTGAACAGTTATCGTCTGGTCGTCATAATGAAGTCAATCTCATTTTTTATCGAGCCGTTGGGGCTCGACCAGGTCCACTTCCTGTGGGGTCGCTTCTGGAAGGAAGAGTTCATCATAAAGAGTGCCTCTTTCTCCATGAAGTCGGCCAGCTGCTGGCCCCTTGGGTTCCGTTGCCCTATTCCAAATTTCCCTATTTTCAGCTCACCGTTCCCTCTTGTGCCTAGTTTTGCATTGAAGTCTTCCATTAACACCTTATAGTCAGTTTTCGAGGAATGTATGGCTCTAGAGATATCCTCATACGTTTCCTCCACCTCCTCATCGGGATGTGCCGAGGTTGGTGCGTAAACCTGTATGACCTTCAGCGAATACCGTTTGGTGATTCTGAGTACAAGGTACGCAAGCGTCGTCAACACACTCACAATCTTTACAACGTTGTTAACGAGAGACTTATGGACGATAAACCCGACACCTCCTTGGGACAGATGGTCACCCTCCCGATGATAGAGCAAGTTGCCGGATTCGAGGATTACCGTGTCCTCCCCCTCTCTTCAGACCTCGGATAATCCTATAATATGCCAGCGTAACTTGTCCATCTCTTCTTCCAGCTCCACGATCTTCTCGTTACTCCTCAGGGTGCGTGCGTTGTATGTTGCCAGGTCCAGTTGTCTTAGGTGGCAACCGAACCTCTGCCGGATATTCTTACACACCGTCAATACACGTCAAAAGTTTTAATTAGTATAAGTGTATATAAAATTATATTTATAAATTAAAATTATAAAAAATCTACTTCTTAATAAAACTTTTCTACTTTATATGAGAATTCAAATCGTTTTATTTTTTATTCGTAGCTTTATGTAGTAGGTTACATAATTCATAGTACTTACAAAGTTGTTCGAAAAAATGAAGATATAATGAAGATATTGAGCGCGAACTGCTTCTAAAATGTTTCAATGATACAAACTTCTGAAAATAAACGTTCATAGAAAATAAATATCTTACGCTTATCAGCGACACTTTTGTTTCATATTATACTCTATTTTAAATATGTTAAGTATATTTTGTAATTTGTTAGGTATTATTACTTAGAGGCCGGCTCACTAGCGTGAAATTGTCAAACGTGCTGGTTGTAATCGCTCTTTTCAATATAAGTATGCATATACATAACGCTTCAATATAATATAATTTGGTGCATAAATTGATAGTTCTCGCTATAATAGTTGCAGATTCACTGTGGTGAAAAGAGGACATCATTAGCATTCATAAACCGAAACCAAAACATTTTTTAAAAGTTTATTTTAATAGCTGAGACAATTATGTAATCAGTAATAAATTATTGCATCATAAAATTTCAAGTTTCGTACTTTCTCAAAACTGGATTTCTTGTGTTAAAAAAATATTCTTGAAAATTATACAAATGTGATATTAATTTGATTACAATTAAAGTAACCATTATGTAATTTACTGCTATTGCAATTTATACTTACACAATTAAAAATATATTATACATTATTTGAGTTTAGTTTCTTTAAAAAAATGTTAATTTTTACAGATCATAAAAATCTTTTTTATCGTCTACTAGCCTATTGGAAGAAACTTTTAATTAAAATTCATAAAATAAAATTATTTTACACCGTAATTTGAAGGCATTTTACATAAATAAATCACTACAAGACAAACGTCCAGATACAGAACAATAATTTGTAGGCCATAAAAAATGTTTCTTGCGGTATTCGAACCAATAGACAAACATTCACTACCAAACTGTCTTTAAAAAGTTGTTTTGGTGGAATAAAAATATAATTGTATTTATGTACAATAATTAAAGGGAGTTAAAATAGTAAAATGTAATAAGCTAAATTAAATTGAATTACTAACATGATTGTTTTGTTGCGTAGCGATAATATAATATCATAGAAAATAAATATTAAAAAAAGGAATTACGTTTTAATATTTTGAAACTATTCTTCAAGACAAGAGTGAATAGGCTTTTGTTACGATAAGACAGTGCGATTTACCATCTAAGGCTACATACATCACCACTTACCACCAGGTGGGATTGTGGTCAAGCACTGGCTTATAATAAGTAAAAACAAAATTCGTACACATAATGGCGTTTTATTTTTTTAATATCCGGGTGTCCTTTACTGTATTAGTCTATTTGTCCTGGGTATGGTAGGAAGCAATAAACTGGAAGTAAGAAGAGGAGTATCCCTTGTCGCACCTTGCAGGAGCGGTGGCGACAAGAGCGGCTATTGGCACTACCGCACGCAAAAATCTACTTATGCGAAGCGCTTATCCGCCTGCTGAATACGCTCAAAGTAACCTTCGTGAACTCGTAGTATCGTAGTTACTATGTTGTTTCTAAGGTTCAGTTAATAGAATAGAATAGAATAGAATGGAATAGAATAGATTAGGATGGGATGGCATGGGATGTTATAGGATAAGACAGGACAGGTCAGGACAGAATAGAATAGAACAAAATGGAATAGAATAGAATATATATTTTTTTCAATATAGATAATTAGTAATTACATATATAAATATTAACTTTATTTTACCACTAGTTTGGAAAATAGATCTGTCCTTGAAAAAATCAGCAAGAAACCCAGCAGGATTATATATACACACACACACACATATATATATATATATATGTGTGTATATATATATATATATATATATACTATATATGTATATATATATATATCATAGGACTGCTTTAATTAAGTATATATATATATATATATATATATATATATATACTTAATTAAAGCAGTCCTATGATAAAATTCGTAAGTATATCTGTAAATAAATAAATAAAAATACTTCCATATGACCTAGAGCCTGCATAGAACAAACCATTTTTATGTATGTAGAGCCACGCTGCAGCTATATTATGGTTGTAGCATGAATGGGTCGGGTGGGACCACGGTCTCACAAAATACCGTCGTGAAATAGCAGCTTAATGTTCATATGTGAGTGTAGAGAACCGAAGACACTTTTTATTCGAAACATCTCAGTCCTTAGGGTTGACAACGCATCTGCATTTTGATTCTTAATTGAGGATAAATGAAGATGTCTATGGGCCACAGCATCCACTTACCATCAGGTGGATTGTGTGCTCGTTTGTCACCCTTATTTTATAAAAAAAAACGATTTTTTTCGATGCTTGATGCATCGGAGGACATATTCCTGTATTGAATATATTTTTGGTTTATGTAAGCATTTCAATTCTCGTATACGAAGAAACATGTAAACTAGGCAAAAGAAACATAGAAGCAATGTCGGCGTTAGCGTTCGTTTTATTAGAAAATTGTGTGTACAAAAGAATTAGTTACACACGTATCTTATAAGTTAACATGATTAAATTTAGCTATGCGTATGCGGCCATTAAGTGCTGAACGTCGACGTAGAAATAATACCTATGAATTCTAATAAAAATATTAATAATTTATAAGTTTCAAAAATTTATTTAATACATAATATATTACGACATAAACAATACCTTTTCAGGAACATATCCATTAGTGAGTAGAATAAACGGGTATACCAAGAAGAAAAATATATATATATTCAATCGCACCATTTTCACAACACAAAACCCTGTACTCGTATATATGTTTAAAAAAAGACAATTTCATTAATATTGACACATTATTTTAAACATTTTAAACAACGGCTTGACGCGTTGTGCACGGTTTGGAAACTGCTCAGTTGTGTCAATAAGAGAGATGTGTGTGTACGTGTTGTGGCTGACTCCCTTCCTTCGTTTGTCTGCTGTAGAATGCCATATTATACTCTTTGTTATTAGTTGCCCGTACTTAGGTTTTCATATTCACAGATCGCGTGCTGCAGTGGCGCACGGTAGATTTCAGGAAGCGGTTTTTCGGGAAAGAAAAGTCAGCTCATCACTATTTAGCTAGTAGATATTTCCAAAAAATCTGAAAAATAGTTCTAACTGTATACTTTTAATAAAAATATAATAAACACTGTAGCAATAGCATATTCGCGCTAACCTCAGAAAGTATTGTAGGGATTTTCGTACGGTTTTTTCGGATTCTAGAATATACAAGTACGTTGTTTATGAATATAATATTTTGCAGTCAGAAAAAGGGCCTTCTGAGAACTTCATTGACGTCTGTAGATAAAGTTGTATGAAAAAAAAAGTAAGCTAGAACATCAAACTAAAAAATAGTTCGCGATGGTATATTTCTATCTATGTATTGAGATACAAAAAATAAATCTTTAAAATATAGATTGTAAGACTATAATTGATTTGAGTCGTTTGCATAACTAAGCAAAAATCTTTATCAAATTAACAGTTTCCCTGTCCGCGATATAAACACAATAGTTAAACAATCGAAATGTTCATACCTATATGATTCATGGGACAGAGAAAGGCATCGTCTTATGCATATTATCTAGATTAAAACAGTCTTGGGATAAAGACCTACATCTTTTGGACCAGTCGCAAAAATTACCATGCGCTTCCCCCACTGAGTCAATATTATATTCTTTGTACATAGCTGGTGATAACCGGGCATTCAAGATGTTAACATCTGTGTCTCGCTGGTATTCTACTACTCTTTCGCGGAGCCAAAGTTTATTCAAAATTACAAATTGTTGGTCTTCAGGTTTGGTTTTGCTGTATTCTTACATAATACTACACTACGTTTTGTCAGAACTCGTCATGATTACTCCTTTCTTGTACCTACTGATTGATATGCTCGTCTGGTAATACGATCGTCAATATTTCTGCCAAATGTGACGATAAATGCAAATAGGCAAGAACTCCTTTATCAGAGAAGCCCAGCCCAGAAGTTCAGCAGTGGACTTTAACGGGCTTTAGAAGAACAAGAGGTAAATTACTGGCGAAAAAGAGAAGAAATAATGCATGCTTCTCATTTTTTATATTGTTAGAGGTGACGGCGCACGTTTACTTCTAGATTAGATGTAAAGTGTCAATCGGCCACAGTAAATCAATAAATTGAATGTACTTGTATTGTGCTCTAATCCAAAGTCCCGAAACCTTTCAGCTCGAGTTGCAAAACCGTTTTCAGTGCCTAGAAGACTGCAATGAAGTGGACGATTTGAATGACAAGCTCGTGGAAACTGTCCATGCGGTTAGAGCTAAGTTCTGCAAGACCCGCCGCAGAAGAACACAAAAACTCTCTGATCACACTCTTAATCTCATGGCTGTTAGACGGGAGATGAAGCTACATTCTTCAACAGATTTGACAGCATACAGGCAACTGAACAGACAGATCTCCAAATGCATGCGGCGGGACTTACGCAACTTCAATACAGCTCGTATTGAAGAAGCGATCGAGCGGAACCAAGGCTCCAAAGTCTTTGCCAGAGATCTGTCTGCCAGAAAGAGCCAACTGTCAAAGCTGAAGACCGAATGTGGCAGCATCGTTTCCGGGGCACCTGAGATTTTGAGTGAGATTGAGAGGTTCTATGGGCAGCTGTACACGTCATCGTTGGAGCCACACGCAAGTGTGAGTAACGATCCAAGAGCGAGTCTTATCCGACATTATTCCGATGATATCCCGGACGTCAGTCTGAGCGAGATTAGAATGGCTCTCCAGCACCTTAAAAACGGCAAGGCCCCAGGCCAGGATGGAATTACAGCGGAGCTTCTGAAAGCGGGTGGAAAACCGGTACTTGAAGTCCTTCAGAAGCTCTTTAATTCCGTCCTCCATGGTGGCATTACACCGGAGGCGTGGAGCAGAAGTGCGGTGGTCTTGTTCTTCAAGAAAGGCGACAACGCTCTCTTGAAGAACTACAGACCGATTTCCCTTCTGAGCCGCGTCTACGTGCTGTTTTCGAGAGTCATTACGAATCGTCTCGCGCGCAGACTTGACGACTTCCAGCCTCCCGAACAAGCCGGTTTCCGAAAAGGCTTTAGCACCATAGACCACATACATACCCTTCGGCAAATTGTACAGAAGTCCGAAGAGTACAATTTGCCACTATGTCTGGCGTATGTGGACTATGAGAAAGCCTTTGATTCCGTCGAAATTTGGGCGGTGCTGCAGTCCCTTCAGCGATGCCAAGTTGACTGTCGGTATATCGAAGTGTTGAAGTGCTTGTACAGTAGGGCTACGATGGCTATCCGAGTACAGAACCAGAGTACGAAACCTATCCAATTGCAGAGAGGTGTAAGACAGGGTGACGTCATATCCCCGAAACTCTTCACCGCTGCATTGGAAGATGTTTTCAAGCTTCTGGACTGGAAAGGATACGGTATCAACATCAATGGCGAGTACATCACTCACCTTCGATTTGCCGACGATATAGTCCTTATGGCAGAATCGCTGGAGGACCTAAGCACTATGCTCAATGACCTCAATAGTGTTTCCCAACGGATAGGTCTTAAGATGAACATGGACAAAACAAAGATCATGTTTAATGTCCATGTCACACCTATGCCGGTAGTTGTTGGGAACACTGAGCTCGAAGTTGTTGACGAGTATGTTTACCTGGGACAAATAGTCCGACTAGGTAAGTCCAACTTCGACCGAGAGGTCAATCGACGGATTCAACTCGGTTGGGCAGCGTTCGGGAAATTACGGCACATCTTCTCGTCAGGTATACCTCAAAACTTGAAAACGAGACTGTACACCCAGTGCGTGTTGCCAGTGATGACATACGGAACTGAGACGTGGTCCTTCACTGCTGGCCGGATGAGGAAGCTCAAGGTCGCTCAGCGAGCTATGGAGAGGGCTATGCTCGGAGTTTCTCTGCGTGATAAACTCAGAAATGAGGATATCCGCAGTAGAACCAGAGTGACCGACATAGCCCAACGGATTAGTAAGCTGAAGTGGCAATGGGCCGGCCATATAGCTCGAAGAACCGACAACCGATGGGGAAGAAAGGTTCTCGAGTGGCAGCCTCGTACCGGCAGGCGAAGTGTAGGGCGTCCCCCCACTAGATGGAGTGACGACCTGGTAAGATTTGCAGGAAGTCGATGGATGCAGGTGGCTCAGGACCGTGCTTTGTGGCATTCTTTGGGGGAGGCCTATGTTCAGCAGTGGACTTGTGAAGGGCTGTAATGATAATGATGACTTGTATTGAGTGTTCATTAATCACATGTGCAATTAAAATAAAAAAGATATATGCACACTAGTACCTAGGTATGAATTTAAGTTCATTTGAAGCAAATAACCTATTAAATAAATACTTATTTACAACAACCTTCTAATAAATATTATTTGGTCGAACTTGGTAAATAGAGTATTGCTTCTTATAACCAGGAATGCATGAATACCACGTACCAATTAAAAGTTAAAATATCATGCATATTTGAGTGTACAAAGCATAGATCATCGCCAGCGAAATAATAAGCATCCAGTATGGTTGAATGAGATATATCGCATAAAAAATTATGAACACGATTATTAAAAAGTACACAATTTCCATTTAACTTTCATTGACATTTTGAATGACTTATTTTGATATAGGATTTAATTTGCACTAAATTTAGTTTTACCTCTATTCATTATTATGCTTTTGACATATTAGACACATACAATTTGACAAAATACAATTATTGACAAAACCTTTATTTGAAATCTATGCTCTATGCAGACTCGATTTTAAAATATTAGGTTTTTACCTATGACATTGCCTTTTCTATGAAATAAGTTAACGTAATTTTTTTTTCTATTAATCAAAGTAATCACCCATGCAACCGATGCATTTTTGTTAACTTAGTAGCAGTTTATTGATGCCTTTCTTGAAGAAATCAGCTGGACTATTGAATTTTTTCCCGCCAAAAAGTTATCCAAATTCTGGTAAAAGTAGAAATCTGTAGGCGCACAGTCTGGTGAGTACGGCGGCTGACGCACAGCTTCCAACCCCAGCTCTTGTAACTTGGAGACCGTCTGTTGTGCATATGAGATCGCGCGTTATCGTACAGTAACAGCGGGGATGAGCAATTGACTAAAGCTGGTTGGAAACGTGCTAGCTTCTCCATCATTGTGTTTAGTTTTTCACAGTAGACATCTGCAGTAATGCTCATCCAGTTTGGTAAAAAGCTGTGATGAATCATACCGGTGCTAGACCACCAAACTGAAACTGTGACCATCACATATCTAAGAGTAATTTTTCGATTTGGGCATTGTTTAGGTGCTGAACCAGGATCCAACCAATTTGCTGAACGCTTGCGGTTGTCAAACAGAATCCATTTTTCATCGCAAGTAACAATGCGATTTAAAATTCCTTCGTTTGGCAGTGCAAGGCACCTCTCGACGCGTATTTCGCGCTGGCTACCATTGAGTTCGTGGGCCACCCATTTGGGAAGCTATTTTACCTCACTAATTTGACGCGAAGAGCCGCCTTTACATGAAACGTTCTATCACTCGCGATCGGAGTGTGCGCGATTGAACGCGGGAAACTTTGCACGCGCAATCGTGAGTGATTAATTTTAATTTAGTAAAGTAGTAAAGTTGCAGCCTATTTACGTCCCACTGCTGGGCACAGGCCTCCTCTCATTTCTGAGAGGTTTTTACGGCAAGAAAATGTCCGCCGTGCTGCCCCAATGCGTGTTGGTGAACTTCACATGTCTTTTTTTTCTTATTT